ACAGCCTGGACTTCTGAATGACTCTGTGGAGCAGGGACTCCGGAGAACTTGACAGGAACCTGGTCTGTTTCATCTTATTATATCTGGAACATTGTTTATGTGTGGAGCTACCTGTTTCGGCATCTACCTTACTATAGCCTATATATCCTTTGACCTGCTGATAACCCTCACCGGTGTCCACGGTAAGGGGTGAAAATCACATTGCATAAGATTCCACAGGTCAGAACAACTGGAAAGACCGGAAACGGCCTGAGGACCCATCACAAGGAAGAGGTGGAAGAATCACGGAGCATGCGCGCCACAGAGCAGTGTGAGTCTACAGTAGGGTAGCTCCATGCCTGCTGACCCAGAGAGCGCTCCGTGATAGTAAAGGGGAGAAAAGGCAATCCGCTAAATAAATGCATCAGACAATCTGATTTGTGGTAAAACAGAACAGAAAACCTGACCTCAAAATGGAATTTTGTTTATTTATACATTTCATATTTATTTATGTGGGAACAGAGAAGGGTTTGCAGTATGGGAATTCAGTTTCTAATGTTAGTTACGTCCTGAGACAAAGGACAGGAAAACACGGGGAAAAGAGGAGGGGCCGGTAGAATGCAAGTGCATCTCAACGTAATAGTCAATGAAAGCGTAGACTATGAAATTGAATCATAAAATATTGAATCAAATATGTAAAAATTGAATATGTATGTAGACAAGGATGAAAGGTAATGTCAACCTATATAAAATTCATTTTTTGTCTTAAATGCTAATATTTTAATATTACTTTCCTAATAAAAGAAGATGGAAGAAGAAAAGGAGCCTCTTCCCGGGTGGGGCTGTCAATGCCGCACAGTTAGGTTTGGTTTTTAAATGGCCGATCTGGATCTGTGTAGAGATGCTGGCAATTGTCCTCTTCAGCCCTTGGGGCCACATCACTGTGGGGGCGGAGTTTCCCCGTACAACAAATAACTAAATAATGAGTGTTCCCACTGTCAATCATGCCCGAGAGAGTTCAGACCTGGAATAGGAATTGAGGATGTAACTACTCGGTACACATTACTATAATGAAATGCTTGAGGCAGGTTAACCTCATAAAGAGATCTATTTAGCACATGGCCTCCAGTAGCCTTACTGGTGTGGCCTCTGGGGAAAGCCTACTACATCACAGTATCACTTTACAAAACAGGAGAGACCCGGGTGGCCTGGTTCCTCCTGAGGGATGGGCTTAGTCGACCTTAAGAACTCCCAATGGACCCCATTTCTTTGTGTTTCTGAGACACCTGCTAATACCAGCTCTCTGTGGCCTGGAGCTTTCTGTAAAGAATTACTTTAGTTAGTATACAAAAATAACAGGTTTCATTGTGACATTTTCAAAAACATACATCGCTGCACTTTGCTCGTAGTCTAAGATGTGAGCCTTTAAGGAACACATTTTAAATAATTTCCAAATCATAACAGACAACTCAAAAAGCAAGCTAGAATGACTGTGTTAAGCTTTCCTTTTCTTACAGTCTGCCTAGACAGTCAAACACAGCTTATGACTCAGTGGGTGGTCAGGCAGGCCTGACATTCTGCATGTCTAACAGTTTCCCAGGTAATCCTTGAACCACACTTTGCACAGCCCAGGGACTGATGCCAAGACGTCTTTCTATTCTTCCAAAAGCGTGGTGGCAAAGGCTGGCCAGGCTGAGCCGAGAGAGTAAGTCAGGCTGCCAGCCTGCTAAGACACTCTGGAGATGGGCCTGTGCCAGAGTCCCAGCTGTACCCACAGGCCACAAATACCTCACTCCAGGAGCTGCGAGCCTTCCCGGAAATCATGTTCATAGGTGTATCTCAGTCTCTGCTGGACTGTGCGGACTTACAGTGGGTCGTTCCTGGAGGGACTGACCCCTGCTTACCATGAAGCAATGAGTGGTCAAGGCTAAACCATCTCCCAGAAGATTAGTGTCAGGGTTGCGGAGAACTCAGCAGCAGGAAGTGCTCTGACCAGGTGAGCTCAGGATGAGCAGGTACTGCCAGGCCCTGTTTGTGAACTCGGCTCAGTGCTCTGGCATGCCCGGCAGACAGCGGAGAGCAAGCCAATGGCCCAAGCCGTAAAGCTTCCCCTCCATAAACACGGGACACTCGAAACCAAACCTCAGTGCTTGATTCCTAATCCACTACCATCAAACACCCAGCTTTTTCCATCTCTCAGGCCTGCTCTCCCAAACGTGGTAGCTTCGTCTTCCAGTCTGTCCCCATGTGGTGGCCTCTACCCATGGTCAAACACTATCACAGTTCCATCATCACTATAAAGTGTGCCGGGAAGCTCTTGCTCGGCTTAAAGATGTCACCTCTGCTTTGGAGGGGGGCCCTGATCTCCCGAGAAGTACTCAGCTGCCAAATTACATATAGAACCCGGGTGTGTTGGCAGGGGACTCTCTGGAGCTAGGCACTCACTGGCTTGGTGGTTGGATACAGGGGATGACTGAGGAGAAGAGAGATGGGCATTTCTTCCACACCTGAAAGTTTTCCACAAGTAGATGGGGAGTACTTTGAGGGGGAAGGGTGTTGAGAAACTCTCATGTGCTTTATCTATTAACACCAGAAGAAAATAGACAAGAAAGCTTAATTTAAAAAAAAGTGCTACTCATTGGGTTCAACTACAAGAGGAGGCAAACCCAAGTGAATGCCTCCTGCAAGGTATAGAACTGCGTCTCCTGCGAGGTAGAACTGTGTCTCCTGAAAGGGTCTAAACTGACGGTTCAGATTTGCTAGGGAAGACCCACCACCCTCCCACCAGCAGGAAAGACAAGAGGGGAAGGCGAGGCACAGAAGTTAGTGCCCCAGATAAGTGACAAGGAAGACCGGGAAATGCGACCTTTACTCCAGGAAGCCTCCAAGAGTACGTCACCAGGAAGAAGGAGAAGGGCAGACAATGAGAAAGCCCTTGCTTAGACTCCCCCGACCTGTACTCCCAATCTCCTCATGAATCCTTGTTAGAATATACGGAAAAGACACCGACTGCAGCAGCAACCTCAGCCGGCTCCAACCTGGAGTGCGTGGCTGGGGCTCAGGACTCGCCACTAACCCAAGTGAGCTCCCGATGGTTGGGTGACCTGCGGGCTCTCTCTCCATCACATACCTGAATAGAAATGGTAGCTAATAAACCAGACAGTGGATAAAACTCTAATTTGAAAGAGAGGAGAATGGGGAATGCTCAGAAGGTACCAGTGGGCAACTTGTCGCGTCCCACTGGGCAGGAGCGGGTGGCTCACCCTGGACAAAGACATGTACTCCTTGCTTGGACTCTTAGGCAGCCATCATTCACCTTTCTAAGAACGATCCCGTTGGCTGCTTCCCCTTGGCTTTCCCTGCAACTTTGCCCCTTAACCATCATCCTCTTGATGCCGACAGAGCTGGGGTTGGATAACACATCACTGCCTTCTGCAGCCTTTCTGTGAACACAGCTCCAGAGCCCAGGTAGGACTGTTGAGGCGGGTCTGTGGACTTCTGCTTCTTAATAGAATTCTCCCAGTGTATTCGCCTGTACATATGGGAACCACAGAGTTGTCAAGCCTGAAATCTTGGACCTCATATACATTGACCTGCATGCTGGCCTCAACACTCTAGCTGGGAACAGTGGCAACTACTCAGGAAGTGCCGACTTCACATCCAGCTTGGCTAATTCTCACGGCATGGCAGAGAATTCTTGTTGTAGACTATTATTTTAAGATGCATTACATTTGTTTATGCTATGGAACTTTTGTTTAATGATGCAAAGATGTGTTGAATTCTTTTATGTTACATTTGTTTAACTCTGTGAAGCTGTGTTACTTTGCCTGTCTAAAACACCTGATTGGTCTAATAAAGAGCTGAACGGCCAATAGCAAGGCAGGAGAAAGGATAGATGGGGCTGGTGGGCAGAAATAATAAATAGAGAGGGGCTGGAGAGATGGCTCAGTGGTTAAGAGCACTGGCTGTTGTTCTTCCAGAGGTCCTGAGTTCAATTCCCAGCAACCATATGGTGGTTCACAACCATCTGTAATGAGATCTGGC